CATGCTGATGCCACGTGTGCAATACATGTATGTGCACAAAAGTATGACCAGATTAGTTCAGCAATTGTTTGTTTGTACTCAAGTTTTCTCAACACTTTGTCAGCTATTCGGAAAGCTTGAATCAACATGTTTAACTTTATATAATTCTTATATATGCATAAAGGTTACATGATCAATTTGACAACACAAGTATTTAGTTTTCCAAAGTTTGCACTGTTGATCACAGACGTCCGGTTATGTCTCGTGTGCTGACCGCAATGTCATCTGAGGTGATATCGTTGTAAGAAATGAACATATTATTGCTGTGTACATTCCATTATTGTCATTAGGTTGATTTTTCGTTGACGGGTGACAATAAAACGACCTGAATGAGATATAAATGTCCTTGTGTGATGTATTATCTCTTGAGTTGACCAAGTGGTCATCACTCATGTTTGACAGTCAAATTTTAGTTTTGAGCTTTTTTGTACTCGATTTTGCTGACTTAAGATTTAAATTTTAACGTCTGACATTTTGGTCTTTGAAATATATACAAAAGATCACAAGGTCTTTGACCAATTTTACACCCACTTTACAAGCAATTAATTGAAATAAATGATATTTAAGTCAGAATATGTTGAGATCTTTTTGTGATTCTTTCAAATACTTTTCAAAATTCAAATTTATAGGTCTTTCAAGTTGAAAATTGTCAATTCAATTTTTGGAGTTAACACCATTTATAACATTATAAGAATTTGATAAAAAGCAATGGTTTTTGTTAATAGCTTGAGGCTATTGTAAGAAATTTAATAGTATACACTGACGGTTTTACATGGTGTTATATTAGTAAATATGTCTTCTGCTTGATTTTCCTGTCAATATTTGAAAGCTTCATAAAATATGCACTTTACCTTAAAAGGGACAATATTGTTCAAGATTTAGTTTTTGCATTATTCATGCACTTGAGATTATAAAAAAACTTTGAAGTTTATTAATTTAAAACATTTTGTATGTTTTTTATTAGTAGTTAATTGGTTTACAGCTGAGTTAACTTGAATGCAAAAAGTTATGTAAAGGTTTGCAGATCAATTTAAAGATATTTGTTTTGAAGGTAAATGTATAGTATAAAAATATCATGGGGGATCATCTGGATGGAGAATAAAACTTGTTAAAATGAGTAATTTAGAATATTCTGGAATACCTTAAGGCCTGAGTCTGAAGCCCCCAAAACAGTCTGACTAAAGCCATCTGGATGGAGAATAAAACTTGTAAAAATGAGTAATTTAGAATATTCTGGAACAGCTTAAGGCCTGAGTCTGAAGCCCCCAAAACAGTCTGACTTAAGCCAGACCCCACTATCCACTTGCGCCTACAAACGCAAGTTGAAAACAAAACTTTACGACAAAAGAGATGGTTTCAGCTTCCCAATTGTGAACTTTCCATTTCTATGTAGCAACATTCCAGCAGCGCCTACATACAGAATATATATCTCCCAATTGATACAATATTCCCGGGCTTGTATTTCCTATCATGATTTCCTTGATAGAGGATTGCTGCTCACAAGGAAGCTATTAAACCAAGAGTTCCAAATGGTGAAGCTGAAATCATCCCTTCGTAAATTTTACGGACGCCATCACTAGTTGGTTGACCGTTATGGTATAACCATTTCACAGATGATATCTGATATGTTCCTTATGTCGTAACTACAATACCCTTCCCTTTTCACGAATGTGACCTACCGAATTAGACTATTTACCGTATTTGTAATAACATAAGCAAAACGACGGGTGCCACATCTGCTTACCCTTCCGGAGCATCTGAGATCACCCCCAGTTTTTGGTGGGGTTCGTGTTGCTTAGTCTTTAGTTTTCTATGTTGTGTCATCTGTGACTGTCCCTCTGGTATCTTTCGTCCCTCTTTGATAGTGGGGCTGGCTTTAGTCAGTCACTACCCCCAAAAGAAATTCGCTATTATTGCGAAGGCAATCAAATCTTTCACCAGATTCAATACAAGTATAATTCAATTTAAAGCTGCCCCAAAACAAACCCTTGGATGATGTACAAATTTTCTCTCTTGTAAAAAAGTTAAAAGTAGTATGATACATCTGTCTATATGAGCCAGTTGCTACTAAGGTAGCAGGTGTGGAGTGGATTTAGAGATCCTAGAGCAGATTGTATAATGACAATACTCCACAGATGGTTATATTCATAGCTTCAAGTGTTTTGCAGAATTACAGACTCCTAGAAAATGTTATTCAGTCAAAACATTTTTGAATTGTTAGTTTCAGTTGATTATAAATGTGGCCCTCAGGACTTATTTTTTCCAAATAACTTAGTCATAACGGCAGGATTTGTAATTGAAAAAGGGTCAGCAAATTTTGTTGTCAGTGAAATGAACTGATTGGTCCAAAAATGACCACTTGGTTGTTAATTCCACCATTTATAAAACCAATCAACAGAATGTCAACTTGATCATATAAAACATAAGCCAATTTGTGTAATCTTGCTTTTCAGCATACATTTTTCATCATTATCATGGTCAAATTAACCATACCTATAGGATTTAATGGAAGATGCTATCTTTAGCCAATATCTTTTATGGGATTTTTATTTCTCCTTCCTTAATGGCTACTTAGCCTACAACAATTACCTCCCGGTCAGTCCGAATCATGTACCACTATTGACCAGGAATGTAGTGCTATCGACTGACCATTAGAAAATTCCAGCATTCTATTTGTAAAGTTATTAACTGTATTTATTCTGGATTTTAGGGTTAATTACTTTATCTCCTATACATGAAAGTCAATTTAAGCCTTTGTCAAATATGAACTTTTGTCAACAAAGTTAGACGTTTGGCAACTTAAAGCGTCTAATAAGTCTTTAAAAGATTTGACTTGTTGCATGGTCAAGACTTGTCTGCTTGTAAAGTAAACGAATTACAAGCTTTTGCATAATTCATGATTTAAAAGCATTGACATACTGGTTTTTGGCAATCAAATTTTTTCTTACCATTTTGTCTTCAAAAAGAAAATAACACATAATGAATTGGTGCATCAGGTGCTTTTCTGGATTTACCTTCATCTGATGAGTGAGGAACACCTAAACCTTAAAGTTTGAAAGCCAAGATAACTTGCATCAACTTGAGGAGCTAATATATGATTAAAAAGGACCTAAAAAGAATAGCCAAACAACTTAGGTTAACTAATTAAAAAAGCTGAAAATTTAGTTTCTTAATAATCTGATATTCATTCCTTAGATACATATCAAAATATTATCCATGGTTCATTTGTCAATTTATCTTTATGCTTTTAATACAATAGTCACTGCCCTTTTCCCAAAATCATGTGGGAATTAAGTGCTGGTTTATTCACAAAAGTATATTTGTACCTGAATTATTGTGTATATATCTACTTTTTGGCTCTGTATGATAGATATCTTTATAGATTTGGTATTTCAGATCCTTGAACATCTTCAATCTCAATTGGCTCAACTGTTATTTTATCTGATTCAAGGTTGATGTATGGATAACTAGATACAAGCCAAAAATCTCAAGATTACTGGTCTTACATAATGTCCAGTAAGGAATGTGAATGGTCCTCAGTTTTATCCAGCATTTCTCTTATCATTGCCTTAGGAGGTATTGTTGATAATTTTAAAGTAGTGTACTGGTTTTTCTTGCTTGAGATAAGCCAAGAAAAACAAATTATAAGATCTTAACGGATTATTTCTTCCCCTCAGGTTTTAACTGAAATCAATCTTTGACACCATGAACAGTGAAATGTACATGAAACCTTTTGTCATTTTCAAAGGACTTGACACTTGCTTTTGAAGAAAATGACATACATTTGCTAATATGTCAATACCAGTATTGTACAAAGTGGGTTTGGTTCCAATTTCTTGTTTGTTGTCAGAATTAATGTGGAACTCTCTTACAATTGATTAATGACATTGGCAGCTGAAGTCTTATGTAAATTCTAAACAAATAATAAAAATATTGACCTTATCAATGGCAATGTACATTTTCTGCATTTCTTTTTAAGATTCTTCTGTATTTCTATCTGTCAGATTAAACACAATATCATTAAGAACTTATTGAATTTTTAAAATGAGTCTTATTTTCATATGGCTTTCCTTTAATCCTGATAACAGTGTTAAATATTGATAAAGCATAAATAATTATAATTGCTCACATTAAAGGATTAAGTCTGATTTTATGGATTCAGTTATCAGATTTTATTACTAAATTAACCATAAATATTCACGATTTTAGTGAATTATACAATTCCAGTTATAGAAATTCACCATAACAATTGATAAGATTGACCTAATTGTATAACTCAGCTGCTTCTAATATCCTAATTATTTTCATGAGCCAAGCATGCAAACATGGTAAATAAATATATTAAGCTCTTAGACTAAATCCCACCCTAATCCAACCCAACCGAAACCAAGAAAAAGAATTTTCTATATATATATATAAGTATTTTCAAGGATGAATCGCATGTTGGTGGTTCATGTTGTCTGTTAGATGCACTGTCTAATATGACTTTGCTAATTCCCTGTATCATTTTCATATGATGAAAAAAAAATTATCATTTTAGACATTTGTTGTCAGAGGTGACAGAATAAGTAATTTAAGTTTAAATATAAAAATTTAAGTCTTTTCTTAAATTCATTGATTTGTAAGTTTTTATTTCAAAAACTGATTTGATATAGAATTAAAGAATTCACTGTAAGAAGGTTAGTTATGGTACCCCAACAGTTTAATTACCATTCAATAATGAAACTTCAGTCTTCTGCTGGAATTCTACATAGGATGCCAGAAGTCTTAACAAATGTCCATTAAATTTGGTGTAAAAAGTTTATTCAGAGATTTATCAATGGCAATTTTCCTTTTGTAAACATTTACATAGAAATCAAGAATATTCGTAAACATGGTAATTGAATAAAATAGATAGGTGTAGGCTTAAAATCTTTTCTGGTTGTTCAACTGTTTAATGATACAATGATAATTAAATTTACCTGAAAGTTAATGTAAATAAATCCACAGGTAGCCCTCAATTATTATTGGTAAGCTGTGAAAATAAATCTGTAGGTCCTCTGGTAGACCACACAGCTAATGTTTGATTATGTAAATTGTCTCGTCATAAGACGTAAATCCACAAAAACCCAACTGAAAGTGTACTCAGTGGTCACTTGTCTTTACGTTTTAAATTTGTCGATTAAATGACTGGAGTCTTATTATGACTTATCACGAAAATAGGGAAGAAGTTTGAAGAAAAGCTAAAGATTAGGAGTATTTATATTTGAAATGATATACTTTTCTCTGTTATGATTGAATGATTATATTGTCTTGTTTCAAAACACTAGACACATTACGAAAGAAATTTTAGGTATTGTTTCCACCTTTTGTATGTTTCAATAATATTTGTAAACAGTATCATCGCAGGGATCAGTAAACCTGATCACACCCTATTTAGTTGTCTTTGTCATGTACAAATCGTCTGTCAACGACTATTATAGTCGTCTCTGATAAAGTTTGTTGAAGAATGTCCAAAAGTTAAGTCTTTAACACAATCAATTTGGGAAGAATTTCAATTTACCATTGTTTAGCTCTATTTTCTTGTAAAGAGAAAATGACCAAAGCCAGGTGTTTCAAATTTTCAGTACAATTCATAGGTGAACAAAACTGGAATGCAATGTGTTGCTATTTTCTTTACAACTTGGAAGTGTATGAATATAGATTTATTTCTTTTCAAATATTACAATGATTATTCAGAACATATTTTGCATTTCAAAATAACTTTATTTGTATTCTCTATTCAATTTCCAACAATAGATGTCACGCAAAGCATAACAAATTATTTGTTATAAAGTTTTGATATCAACAGAAAAAATCTTTTGTTATATTTCTTTTCTACTGATTTAAAGTACTTTCAGCACTTTGATTGATGAAGCTGAAAACCAATAGAAGTCGACATGACTGAATTAATTTCTGAGGTCAAATATGTAGTCTTTTCAATTTGTATTGGTACAATTGGAAAAAAAGGATTTCAATATTAGAAAAAAGAAATTTAAGGGGAAAATATAAGATTACAGGGACCCTTCATGAAATAAAATGTTGGTATCGATTAACTTCTGCATACCAGTACTATTCGTTGTTTATGTAGAGGAAACTGGAGGCGTTGATCTTTAATTTTAATGATCTGAATAAATGTCATTATACTTTTAAGGAGATGTTTAATTTCTTTTTTTATCGATTTGATAAATGGAAAGTATAATTTTGAACACTTTAGTTTGATCTTTTGGGTTTATATAACATTCTATCTAAATTAATGATGCCAGCGTCAATTCTTATTTCGAAAAAAAAATTAGGATTTTAAAATGTTATGACCGATATGTGATTAACTTTGATGATGGTAGCTGGCAAAAGGAAGGCTAACTTAATTGTCCCAGTTTGTACCCAGTGTAATACCAAATCTTTATAGAAAAGATTTTTTCACATTGAAATTCTGAGGTGACTCAAATCTTGCTTGCAGCAGACAATTTATCAATTGTTTACAATTTTCATAATTTTCTGTCAAGCTAACATTTAACTTTGAGTCTGTTTCCTTGTATCATATTACTCAATGTCACATGTGAAAAATAACAAAAAAACGAAGACTAAATATAGAAACTGCACATGTAGTGAAGCTATATCACCTGTATTATTATTCATTAGACGTTCGTTAGATCATCTATCATACAGGTATAAACTGATGATGTCATACCTAGGTTTTTACCTTGAACATTATTTTGTCACCTTTCTTATGAGTTATAAGCACAGCATGGTTTTAACCATTTGCATAAAATTTTGTAATGAAGCAGTTTATAAATGTCCATAAATATCTCAGTTTTATGTGTAATAACAAACAGTAAAAATAAAATATGTTATTTCTGTTTTGGTGTGAAAGGGGAAATATGAATGAGGCCAGTAAAAATGTCTTCTGACAATAAAAAAAAAATGTCCTTGATAATGATTTAAGATGATTTTTCCAGAATTAAATCACCTTTTTCAAAAGAGAGGTAAATTCAAGCTCTGAATGTTACGATGCTAAAAAGTTTTAAAGTTAAGGGCACAACTTATCTAAACATCTAGCCTTTGACTGATAACATGGTCATCATAATGTGAACTTTAATGCCTCTATTATGAAAATCCCCTTTTTTTTTCTCATTTATCGTTTACAAATATTTTTTCCTGATGAGCTGTTATATTTTACACCTACAAACAAATTGATTTCAACTCGCTCAGACCAGAATATTGTCATGAATTAATAATAATCTCAAAGTCACTTGAGGGTCCATTCATTATATGTACCACTTTTACAGTCTGGTGTTCTGCAATGTTAGTGTCCAAGAACTACTCCTAGACCAAAATTCATTTCATTTGACCTTTCTGTTTTTATCAGTCAAGATGTACATTTCTACATATGTTGTGTCAGGTCAAATAAATTATCTTTAATATTTCATATGAAAATTTGTCCTACCTTTTAAGCTATAAATGTTGACATTTCGTAAATATCCTACATAAAATTTGTTATTTTCTATTTAACATGATAACAAACTGCATGGATGATCTGACAACATGTAGCAGTGTTTAAATGTCTCTGAATGATCTGTAAGCCTTTATTGATTTGATTGAAGACTTCAGTGGTCACATGACCATAAATGGTTTATGGGTGTATATTATGTCTTAACACCTATTTACATGAGTGTTTTTCCTTTTGATTGCACAAGTAATTAAAAATGATTTCAGGTATATTTATTGATAGAATTAAGTATTAGACTTGCTCAGGTGACTGTTCACTTTTATGTTTTATCTTAGAACTGAAATTGTAACTATTTAATCTGTTTTCCGTAACTCATACAAAATATATCTGTTACAACACTACTATATCACAACATTGTAGTACAAAAAAATCTTGATTTATTGGAAATCATTTTTCTTAATGAAAAATCTATAAGCTAATGTATCATAAACTATGGTACATTGTATATGCTTATTCACTGCTAAACTGCTAACACCAGGCTTTAAAACCCAGTAGAGTTCCAGTATAGTGCACAAATTCTCCTCAATATCAGACATTGATTCCTCTAAAGAAAGAAAAATATAGATAAGGTAAAATAACAGCCAATTTTGTGTCAAAATAAGGTCCTCTAAGTCCTAATTTCTCCCCCCCCCCCCCCCCCTTTCGCACACCTTAATTTGAGTGAGTAAGATTGTAGGAGATATCATTATCGGAAGCATAAGTCCACCTATTTAGTCTAGATGCTATGATTGCTGATCTTGCTTATAAAACTGAAATTAACAACTAATTTTACTACAGCATTATCATCAATTCGAATATCTTAAAATATTACGTTATCTCAATTTATTTTTACAAATTACATGTATGTGAAACTTAAAGCCAAATTTTCACACAATTAACCTGTCTGAAGCTCAAACAGGTTACTAATAAAGACCATTTATAAGTTATTCTTTTCTAAAAGGGGGTATCAGGTAATATAAAGTAGTTTTATATGCAAAGGTTATATTAACTAACTGAAAATTATAGTTATCAGTTGTGTTACAATGCCTTTAATTCTGGTAATTTAAGAGCAATTTTGAAGTTTGCAAAAGTTTAAGGTTAGAAGTTATTGTGCATCTTGTATTCAATCAGGGGTCGTGAACCTTCCAAAATCTGCTACTGAAAGTTGAATTTAAAAACTTTGGATGTGTTCAAATTTGTACCCTATTGCACTTAGAAATGAAATGTAGCCTGACTTTTAAGATGGTTTAGAAAAGCTGTATTTTTCTCAGCTCTGAAAATTGTCATGTAAGCATTTTTCATATCTAATCAAATTACATATATATTGCCACTTTTATTTATCAAGCATAAAAGTGCTATCATAAAATGTTTTTGTAAAAACATAGCCATTGGGGAAAGTCTGACAAACTGACATTTTTATAAAGAAAAAAATGTATGTAGGAATTTTTATCTGATCTGGGTGAAATAGATCATTTGTAGTACCAAAGGCAGTTTTTTTTTAATTAAGTGTTCCATTTATACTGATGAAATGTAATGATAAACCAAATTTAGAGTATATTATATTGATCATATGTAGTGATACTCACTTCTACCATCATAAGGTGAGATTTTGTGTCTCCATACACAAACTGTATATGAGATTAGGAATGATTGAAGTAGTCTGTCAGATGGAACTCAGGCAATTTAGTTACATGTAATATAATACATATGGGGTTTGAACTCATACCTTCATGAAAATACCATACAAATATCTTAGTTATAAAACTCTGGTCCATTAGAGCAGGCTCCCTTCACCTTTTGGACAGAAAGAGTAAATGAGTCAATGTAATCTGAAACTTTGTATGTCCATGAAACAAAGCTTTATGGTAGTGGTTGCATAAAAGAACATGCAGGATATAACTTCATTGACAGCAACCACACAAAAAAAAGAAATACATCTTGAGGTCAACATGCAGTCTTATTATATGCCCTAACATTGTGTCAACTTGTTATTAAAATACCCAGAATCTAAGAGAGTAATGAGTAAGACAATTTTTTCACCTGACAGCAAAACTGGAGACATACAATGTTCACTAAGTCTGTTGTCTAGGGTTTTGTCATGACAATGTTTTGATACTGATATTTCAAGACCACAAGTCTGAAGTTAAGTTCTAATATGGCACAATGATAAACTTTTAAGTAAAAGTACAAACTTTGAAACATTAGAGAGGGCAACATAGGAAAGTATTATATTGCAACCAGGGAATTTCAAAATATAGAATAAACAAATATATCACAAGACTGAGACTACCCCCTTTTTCCTGCTTTTAAAAAAAATAAAAGTTCAACACTTTAAAACCATTACCCCAACAAGTCAGCTTGATAATACACACCCAAATAGGACATGTAAGAAAAGTAAGTAATTTAAATAGAGTTCAGCTTGTAAAGTAAATGCTTTGCAATTATGATAATGCACCAAACAGCGCAGCAACCCTCTGCAGTTGCAATTCCTTGTATAATGAATGGTATGGGTAAACTGCTGGAGTGGGTCACTTTTTATCATGCTTCTTAATATATGTGTATTTAATATAGTGTGAAATTCATGTGAAATATATTGACTGGTTGGTGTTTAACGCCATTTTCAGCACTATTTTGCTTTTTCATGGTGGTCAGTTTTTATTGGTTGAGGAAGCATGAGTGCCTGGAGAGAACCATGACCTTTGG